TAGTGTAAAAAAATAAATTATTAACCTTTAAAACAATAAAACACAAAGTATCTATCATAGAAACCTAACTCAATGAAATAAATTCTTTAGTGATAAAATTTCTGACACCAAGGCTGAGGACAAAGGGTTGACATTTTGAGAAAGACAATAGAAGTCCCACCTTCTTCTCAACTCCATATGGGCAGATGCCTCCTCTATTGGTATGTGGCTGACAAAAACTAATGGATATAAACAACTTAGTGCATAGTAAATATTTAGTAAGGGAAAAAAATTAGTAGGCTTGTAGACCTAGAAGCTCTAAATAAATGCAAATAGCTAAACTGACTATCCTAATCTGTAAGATGATAAACTCACAAAGTTATTATGAAAACTGCATACTGTAAGCAAAGTAGTAATCAGTCAGGAAATATTAGTTTTCCTTATTGTCATCTTCCTTTTACTTTTGATAAAAAATTGAGAGGATAACAAATCAAAGAGATTTTATCTTAAGTTACTGACTCAAAGTGAAGACCATATTTTATTAATATAGTTTGACACCGAATAAGTATATTACACACATGAAAGAAAAAGAAATCTTTTTTTCTCCAATGAGTAAAGAAAAATAAGAAAGAAAGTCTATGCATAAGAAAGTTTCTTCTACTCTCTAAGTAAACACAAAGATGATTTTTCCTAACATATTCATTGGAATTTAATAATGGTGAACAGGAAACAGAAACAGGCAAATAAATATGCTGACATAAAAATCACCAAAATCTTCTATTTTCCTTAAAACCAGTCAAGAAATGATTAGTATGTTGCTTTATTCCCTATAAATTAGACACATGCTTTTAAGATTTACAAATCTTAGTATAATTGACTTTTTGCTACAATTATGTCCCTGAAATTTGATGCTGTGTGTTTTCCCTTTTCAAAAAGAATAAAAGCAGTACTTATCTTAGATATAAAATAAAATGTCAGAAGAAATTATTTGTAACATAAAATATAAATCACATCTTTTAGATGATAACCTATTTCTCTCTTTTCTACTCTGGCAAAAGTAGCAGGCAAACCAACAAAATTATTATCTCATTCTCAGAAGATAATGTCAAGTTTTCTGAAATTGATGTCAGAATAATACATAAAGTCAATGAACAGAGGCATCACTTTTGATAGGACAATTAGATCCTCAATGCATCAAAAGATCAAACACACATCCCTAGAGAAGCTGTTTCAGATGAGATAACAACCTTTTAAGTATTGACTTTATTATAAAATTTGCTACAAAATCAGTGATTTAGTTATGTAATTATGTAGCTAGAACCATATTCCTTCCTCCTCTATATTTTTTGAACGAAACTAAACTGTTGAGAAACCTTTTCCCTAAGTTCATTTTTCCTTGTGATAGGACACTCTTATCAGTCTTACTCTTCTATCCTCCCTACACAACAGAAAATGAGAGGATGTACATAATTCTTGGTTGGTAAGAGAAAGTTGAGCATGTGTGGCTCAGCACCCACCCTCTCAAACTCTTTCTCTTAGTCACTTTCATTCTTCCATCCCAACATCTCCATATAGGTGTAAGTTTATGTATGTGTGCATACATACACATGCTATATTATGTTACATATTTGAGAAATAGAGAAAGTAAGAGAAGGAGACATATGTATTGAGCATATATACACTGTTATAGATGATTTGTGTCTACATATGTATGTATCTCCTCTCAATCTCTCTTCTCTTTTTCTATTTTTCTCAGTCTATCTTTTAACCTCTTTCTCTCTTTCTCTCTCACACACACACATATACACACAACACATCACACACACCTGACTACACAGACCTGCATTTTCTACCTTCCAATGCCTTAATTTTACAAGGCCAGACTCGCCAAAGAAATATTTGGTGTTTTCCAGCTATGCCAAATAAAAACGCAAATAAATCTGTCAAAACCAGACATGTAGTCTGATGTAGTGGTCCTGTTTGTCTACACACCTGAGCCTATTGTTCCACACTTTCTCCACTCTGAAATCGCCACTGTCTCTTCAATCCTCTCCTAAAGCTAACAGAAAAGACATTACACCTTTGACTCGAACATCCACTAGTCTGTGTGTGCTTATATCCAGACCAGCGGTCTTCCCTGCTGTTACTGTCAGAAGACTGTTTGTGTTCCATCTAAAGATGATGCCCTACTCACCTACTACATCCCATATCTCCTCATCTACCAAGGGCATTGCTGCCTTCCTCAGTCTCTCTCACTCTTGATAATCAATTTTCCCACAATTAAATCAATCCCATCATGATATAAATATGCTACACTGTTTCCACTCAATTGTCTCTACTCATTGTGCCTACTTTCCTTCCATTCTTTTAGATAGACTCTAACAGCTCATCCCCAGCAATGTATTCATGTATACTATGCCAAAAGTATTCACTGAGATAACAATTGCTCACAATATATTAGTTGTCTATTGTTGCCATAACAAATTACTATAACCTTAGAGGCTTAAAATAACGGGTTTATTATCTCATATTCAACACAAGTCTCACTGAGTTAAAATCAAAAAGGTAGCACTGTAGTCTTGTCTGGAGGCTTCAAGGAAGTCATTCTTTTCTTTGCTCATGCAAATTGTTGACAAAATCATATTCCTTCCACACAGCTCCTGCATCTCAGAATGAGCAATAGGGAATCAAATTTTTCTAATGCTTCTCTCTGTCTCTTTGAACAGAGGAAAGAAAGATTCTTTGCTTTAAAGGATTTACATTAGACTGTGTCCAGCTAGAAAATTCAGGACAATCTTTGTAAAGCAAGGTCCAGAACCAAAGTCATACTTGTAAAGAACAGTTGGTTGTACAACATATTCACAGGTTTTGGAGATTAGGGATGGCATCTTAAGGGAGCCATTACTTTGTCTAGTGCACTCACACAGTAGTCATTTCTGAGTTCTGATTTTAGATAACCTTCAGCAGCATTCAACCTATTTGACCACTCTCTCCTTAGAACAGTCTTTTCTCTGCCTAAACAACAAACTTTCAGTTTTCTAATCACACTGGCCACTCATTCTCAGCCTTTTATGATTCCTTGTCTTTCCTCTAAAATTGGGAGTGCCTCAAATTTCAGAAGTAGTGATAATGAGGATGAAATGTCTATATACAATAGTTTTAAAAAGTGTGACCAACAAATACTGTATGTACCATGTTGAATAATGGACTCCTAAAGACATCCACGTCCTAATTCCTGGAACCTGTGAATACATCTGGTTACATGGCAAAGGGAAAATAAGGCAGCAGATGGAATTTGCATTGTTAACCAAATGACCCTAAAACAGGGATGTTACCCCAGATATTTTCTGATGTCATTACTAGAGTGCTTGACAGTGGAAAAGGCAGGCAGGGTGATGTGATGTGAATAAACAAGGAGATAAGAAAACCTACTTGTCATTCACAACATGCTATAACTATTCATTCCAGCACCCCAGTGTCCTTGCTCTTTTGAACACTGATCAAAAGCAGCCTTACCTCAAGGCCTCTATATGCTTACTGTTTCTTCTGCCTCCCTCCCCTAGCCCCCAAACCCAAGATCCATAAGACCTATACCTTTGTATACTAAGCTCTAAACTCAAATATCACCTTGTGAGAGGGGCTTCCCATGACCACCTTATATGAAAGAATTTTTTCTCTTGGGCTTTAGCTTTCTCCCCTAACAGTGTTTGGTGAGTTAGTGTATTATATTCATAATCAAGTAAGAGAGTTTAAATTAATATCCATAACATAAAAATTCTCAATAGAAATTTCTAAAAAATAGTGCAATCCCTAAAGACAAAAAAGTTCAAAACATAGGAATGGAAAACTAATAATTTATAAGTACTGTATGAAACATAGATAAAAATTCTAAAAATGCAAATAACAACTTTTCCTGTTCAAGCCACACGAAATTTAAACATGTAATTTAGTAGACTAATAAGATGAACATAAGCATTCGCAATGTAATGTGGTCCAAAATTTTACAAAACATTTAATTTTATGTATACATTTCCATTCTCTGATCCAATAATTCTTCTTCTAATAATTAAGACTAAAATATGACAGAAATCCAAACAGACTTTTTGGCATAAATATAATGAGAGACAAATCTGAGATGGGGGTGTAACTCAGTGGAATAGCCCTTGCCTACCTGAGCCGGCTGGTTTTATACCGTCGGAATCCCTGTCAACACAACGAAAAACAAAAAAAATCAGAAAAAAATAAAATAATCTAGCTTAAAAAATAAGGCACTTTTTATGAGGATATAAGACTTATTTGCTAAGATGTAAAGAAAATGGGGAGGTATTGGGTACCTTTTAGACATAGTGCGCATGATATAGCATAAAATTGACCAGAGCCAAATAGTTCATCTAAGGAACAAAACACACTGACACACCACTAATGACTGGTTAGCATTAATGATTGACACATCCCAAGGACCAATGTTTAAGGAACCGTGGAATTAGATCAATAAAGGGAAAATATATAAACGTAATCATTCTTATGCGAACAACGGGTAAGGGAAAAGCACTTACATGAGATTAAATACTCAATAACAGGGGCCTGGGGTTGGTGGTGGGTGGGGTGCTGTGTGGTTGTTGGTGGGGTATTGGTTTGTTGTGGTTCGTGGTTGTTTTTGTGTGGTTGGGGTTGGTGGTGGGTGTTGTTGGTTTGGGTGGTTGGTGGTTTGGGGTTGTGGGTGTGGTAACTGAAAA